CGCCTGCTGGCCCGCCCGCTCGCTCCTCGGTCGTCGTTGTCGTCGCCGTCGCCGTCGTCGTCGTCGCCGCCGCTCTCGGTCGCCACCGGCGGCGGTGCCTGGCCCCGTCTGCCTCGCCCTGCACCATGCGGGTCTCGGAGCGCCGCTTATGCCCTGCCTACCTGTCGTTTCCATCGGCGAGGTGTGCAGCAGGCAGGCGGGCCACGATGCCAACCCCGCCCGCCTGCCTGTGCCTCAATTGAAAGCCAAGGCGCCGGCGACGTCGACCACAATTCGCCCCGACTTACACTGCGCTCCGGCACAAGCTCTGCGACAAGGCACGTAGCAAGTACTGTATGGACTACTCGATCTGTCTACCGTCGCCTGGCGCGCTAGATCTGTCTCTTGCCGGCGTCGGTCAAAACCTTGATGTGGGAAAGTCGGGCCTCGTTGGCCCTAAACTCGCTCTTCCTCTGTCCTTTGGCTGCTGCTGCACCTTGCAAGGCGAGACACCGGTTCCCCAGCTCCCGCCGCCCCGCGTCGGTCGGCGTGGACACACTCGTCCTACGGCCCAGCTCAGCCCAAACCTACCCAAGGCCGGTACCGTGCGCTAGTCTACAGTAGCCTGGCGCTGCCGTGTCCCACATCCCTGGCTGCTCAACGACACCAAGCAGCGACGACGCTCGCTCGGCCCCCTTTCCGCGAGATTGATGCCCCGACTTCAGCCCTCGGATTGATCGGCACTCTCGGAGATTGACCTTCATGAAATCTCTTCTCTCTCCCTCTGCGCGCCCGTGACCCAAGGCCTCCCCTCTTGCTCAGGCCGAAATAGCACACCCGCTGCCAACACGTCCCACCCCCTCCAATCGGCACCTGCCAGACAGGGCCAGGCGAGCTGGACGGCCGTCGAGCTACATACAGTAGGCTGCTGCCCGGCCCATCTCGACCCGGGGCGTCGCGCCCAGACGACGGCCAACGTCGGCCATCGACCGCCGAGCCGGTGGCCAGCCAACCATCGGATCCAGTTCCATGCCGCCCCAGAGCACCGTGCCATGGACATGCAGTAACCGAGGACCTTGTCCCCCTGGGAACAGCGGCCGCTTCGCCACCACGGGTTGTGCTCTCCGTATGGACTAACGGCCTGCATGGCACTGCGCTGCTGCTCCTACCAAGGCGAGGCGGGACCAGGCCAGGCTAGGGCCCATCTCGGGCCTGTTTACCGTACGTCGCCTTGTCCCGCAGCGCCATCCCTCCCGTTAGTATAAGTACCTTCCTTCCGCTCCGGCGTGCTCCTGGCGTCTCACACGCCACCCTGTCATCCACCTCTGGTCACCTATCCGCTTGTCGCCCGTCGTCCGTCGCCCTTTCCTCACCTTCTCCCCCTCACCCTTTTCCCTAGCCGCCCTTCTCTTCCCCGCCCCGCCCCCTCCCCCTACATCCTCACGCCGCCATGAAGGTCAGCGTGCTTGCCGCCGCTGGCTTCGCCACCGTGGCCTCGGCCAACCCCATCGCCTGGAGCCAGATCTCGCCCAGGAGCGACCTCGCCAACCGCGCCAACCTCGACGCCCAGCTCGCCTCTCGCTCCATCTCTGGCGACGCCGCCACGTTTGCCTCGCAGTCCTACGACTACGTCGTCGTCGGCGCCGGTACCGCCGGTCTTGCCGTCGCTGCCCGCCTGTCCGAGAACGGCAAGTACACCGTCGGTGTCCTCGAGGCCGGTGGCAGCGGCTTCGGCGTCGGCATCATCGACACCCCCGGCCAGTTTGGCGCCGACCTCAACACCATCTACGACTGGAACTACACCACTGTCGCCCGCCCCGACGTCCCCTCGTCGGGCTGGCCCCGTGGCAAGGTCCTTGGCGGCTCGAGCGCCCTCAACTTTGAGGTGTGGGACCGCAGCTCCAGCATCGAGATCGACGCCTGGGAGCAGCTCGGCAACCCGGGCTGGAACTGGAACAACCTCTACCGCGCCATGAAGAAGTCGGAGAAGTTCACGGCACCCAGCGCCTCCGACGCCGCCAAGCTGGGCTACACCCCCGTCGCCTCCGACTATGGCTCCGCCGGCCCCGTCCAGGTCTCGTTCCCCAAGTACATCAGCCAGCAGGTGCAGCGATGGATCGGTGCCCTCAATGAGCTCGGCATCCCCACCAACAGCCAGCCCAACGCCGGCGACAATGTCGGCGCGTCCAACCACCCTTCGGACATCAACCCCAAGAACAGCACCCGCTCCTACTCGGCCCCCGCCTACCTCTTCCCCAACCAGGCGCGCCAGAACCTCAAGGTCCTCACCAACGCCCTCGCCACCAAGGTCAACTTCTCCAAGACCTACAGCGGCCTCAAGGCCACCAGCGTGTCGATCAAGAGCGGCGGCCGCGTCTACTCGATCCGCGCCAACAAGGAGGTCATCCTCTCGGCGGGCACCGTCAACACGCCCCAGCTGCTCGAGCTCTCGGGCATCGGCGGCAAGCAGCTCCTCTCGTCGCTCGGCATCCAGACCCTCGTCGACCTGCCCGCCGTCGGCGAGAACATGCAGGACCACACCTACTCGGCCACCGTCTACAAGCTCAAGCCCGGCTTCGTCACCCTCGACAGCCTGAGGAACAACGCCACCTTTGCCCAGGAGCAGACCGCCCTCTACCAGGCCGGAGGCGCCTCGATCCTCACCGAGACCGTCCCCTCGATCGGCTACGTCTCGCTCGAGCGCGTCGTCGGCGCCGACCGCGCGGCCAAGATGATTGACGAGGCCGCCGCCTACGTCGCCCAGTCCAACGCCCCCTACAAGGCCACCCTGCAGAAGCAGATCGAGTTCCTCAAGAACCACCCCGACACCGTCGGCCAGATGGAGCTCATCGGCATCGACGGCTACTTTGCCGGCACCGGCGCCCCCGCCGCCGACTCGACCTACTTCACCATCCTCGCCGCCCAGCAGCACCTCCTCTCGCGCGGCAGCATCCACATCACCAAGAACGACCCCACCGCCTACCCGGCCATCAACTCGGGCTACTTCACCGCGCCCTTTGACCTCGAGCTCGCCACCGCCGGCACCGCGTACACGCGCAAGATCGGCCTCTCGAACAAGTACTCGGACATGGTCGACTCGCAGGCCTGGCCCACCGCCGACCGCGACCTGACCGAGTACACGCGCACCACCAGCATCACCGAGTACCATCCCATCGGCACCGCAAGCATGCTGCCCAGGAACCAGGGCGGTGTCGTCGACCCCAACCTCAAGGTTTACGGCACCACCAACCTCCGCGTCATTGACGCCTCGATCATGCCGCTCCACATCGCTGCCCACATCCAGGCGACCATCTACGGCATCGCCGAGTACGGCGCTCAGCTGGTCCAGCAGTCCTGGTAAATATCCCGCCCCCGCGCCCCGTCCGTCATTCCTTTGGTCACGGCGGCGTGCGCGCAGCTAGCTGCTGCTGTGGCGCCGCCCGGGATGGATCCGCCTAAGGAGGCAGGCAGGCAGGCATGGACCCGTTGGACCAAGCTCTCTCTCTCTTCCTCTTCCGGATGGACTGGGGACAAGAAGGCCTTCAAGGACTGACGTCGGGCTCGACGATTCCCCACAATCTCTTCCTCTCCCATTTTCACCGCTCCAAACATACCCACACTCTTTCCCCGCACTTTCTTCTCTTTCTCGCCTCACGTTCTTTCCTTCTCACCTCGTAGCGGCCGCAAGCACCGCCCTTAGGCGATCCGCTCCAACACGAGGAACATTCCACCCAAGGCCCGGACCGGGAGCGATGACGGCCGACGTAGATGAAAAGCAAAACGGAAGCAGAGTCAGGTCGCCGCATGCCCGGTCCATTCGCCTCAACAGCCTCCCCGAGGTCGGCGCCGCGAGGCGTCCCCGGTTGGCATTCCTTCGTCTTCCGCACTTTGCCCCCATTGCTTGTTTCTTGCCCATCTTCCCCCCGCCCCCATACATCGTGGAATACCCCAAAGCGCTCTCTGCCCCGCGTGGCCTCTGCCGGCCACGGAGGCAAAGAGGGCTTGCAGATGCTCTGGCACGAGCACATCAGCCGCTCCCCTCCCATCCATTCGCTTTCGCATCGGGCTCTCTGCTGCCCTTCCCCACCTTGTTTGCTTTTGATAGATCCCTCGCTTTTTGCTGACGGCTGCCCTACGTCTTCCTGCAACGACAATTCATGAGCGAGATGCAAAAGAGTTTTCCTGTTCGTCGTTGCTGTTGGTCGCTCTTGTTGCGCTGTGTGTTTCCTGCGCAGGTCTGCTGTGAGGCTTGGGAAGTCGTGGCAAGGCCGGAGGAAGGGCTCGTCGCGGCGAGAGGCTGGCGGCGTCGGGAGTCGGGGGGCTGACTGGCTGGCTGGCTGGCTGCGCTGTGGCCAACATTTTTTTCTGCGTGTTGGCTTTGGCTTCGTTGGCGCGCCTTTCTTCCTCTCTCCACCAACCCACCGACAGCCTCCTCGTTCCCGTTGCTGCTTCGTGGCTCTTTCCCGTCGCCCTCACCCTCGGCCCCTCCTCTGAGCAAACCTCTTCCAGCGGGAGTCTCCCAATCCCGCTCGTACTCAGCCCTTCCGTGCCCCAGGATGGAGAAGAGGTCACGCTCACCCGAGCCGGTGCCAGCGCCCTCCACCGTCGAAGCGGCTGCTACTGCACCAGAGGCCACCGCTTCCGAGGTCCCTGTCGACGCTCAGCCCAGCGCCAAGAAGGCTAGGATGGAGGAGCCCGACAACACCCCGGCTGTGCCGATCGCAGACGCCACCGACGCTGATGCACCCACTGCGTCCGCAGGTGCCGCCGACCAACCTGCCCCCGCCACCTCTGCCTCGGGCATCCGGCTCGGACACATGACCGAGGAGCGCGCAGGCATGACGCAGTACATCAACCCGGACCTCCCGGCATTCGAGGGCATCATCAAGCAGCGCTTCACCGACTTCATGGTCAACGAGATCACGCTCGGCCCCGAACACACTGTGTGCCGCATCACCAGCCTGGACCCGCCCGAGGGAAAGCTGCTCCAGGACCTCCGGCGGGCCAGGGGAGAGATTGACGAGGCTGAGATCCAGCGACAGGAGGAGGAGGCGGAGAGGAAAAGGCAGCAGCAAGAGGCAGAGGCCCAGGACACCACCTGGCCGCACGAGGCCGACGACCAGCTCAGCCCCTACTTTACGCCGGACACCCTCGCAGCACTGCGCAAGATGTGGGAAGAAGGCATCAATCCGCCCCAAGCCGCTGCAGCAGCTGGAGAAGAAGCCACACCAGCAGAGAGCGCTACTGCTCCCGACGAACATGCCAATTCGGAAGAGACAGCCGCCACTGCTGCTCCGGCAGAGCAGGGCGACAGTCAGGCGCGCCCCGCGAGGCAGGCCGGCCGGAAGTCCAACGTGGTTCAGGACGACCGCAAAGTGCTCTCGCGTCCCCTGTCGTCCAAGGCCGAGCGCACGCAGGCCCATGCGGTCTTCCGGGAGCTCTTCCACGGCAAGCTGGCCACCGAGTCGATCGCGCTCGCAAACGACAAGCAGGACGACGATGAAGATGCGCAGGCCAACGCCGCCGCCGCCTCTGGCGATGCGAGCGCTGCTCCGAAGGCCGAGACCTTGTTTGCCGTCGCGGTCAAGTGGGCACGTCGCTCGGATCGAAGGAACAAGGAGTTGCTCGACGAAGAGGCGTTCAACTCTCCGCCCTACATCCACTTCTACCTGCAGAAGACGAACCGAGACCACCAGGAGGCCATGGTGCTGCTGGCGCAGGCGCTCGGCCTCGGCGGTGGTCCCAACGCCCCTCGCAGCAAGGGCGCGTCGGGCACCAAGGACCTCAGCGTCGCAGGTACCAAGGACAAGCGCGGCGTCACGGTGCAGCGGGTCGCGCTCAAGCGCGGCCGGAAGACGCTGGACGAGGTCTGGAAGCTGGTCAACGGCGTCGACGA